AAACTTAACATGTCCCAAACCAGACTAGTTTCACTAGATTTTATTCCCATTGCTCCCTCTCTTAGATAATACTCTTCCTGCCCTTGCCAGAATAGATTGTTTTATATAATCTCTTCCTAATGTCACTTCTCATTAAAGGTCTTGCTTGACTGTGATTTGAAGCTTTCCAGATTCGAAGAATGTGTGAAAGGCCAGAAAGAATGAGAAATAATAGTGACTGTTGGTGGATATGCACAGAGGAGTTTCTTGTCATATAGTTCTGGTAAAAGTGGTATTTTTATAGCTTTTTATGGAAAAAATATGGTATGATGTACCTATCAGTTCCACTCTGGGGAATCTCTAACTTAGAAATAAAAACTCCAGTATATAATAAAGATATTTAAAAGAGCGTTGTTTATAGTTGCTGAGAAAAAATCCTGCCAATAAAGTAAAAACCCATCTATGAGGAAGAAATGGATAAAAGGTAATATAACCATATCTAAAATGTTCATACACTCAAGTAAAAACTAATGAAATTTATACAGTTAATTTGGAGCGATTTCAACAACGAACAAAGAAAGCTGGAAAAAGGCATATGTAATATGTGTAGTGCTGTGTATGTTTGGGAATGTTTCTGTTTGGTAGAATTTGGAATATTATTTTACCCTCCTCCCCTTTTTTTTGTTTGGTTCCTAAACATGTACATGAGCATTAATTATTCACACACTAATACACAAAAGTGATTTTATTTATGAAAACCCTCTCTCTCCGTCTTCTCCTTCTCCCTGTCTAAATACCTTCTGCTTGTCTCTATTTCTATTGCTCCCACTCCATCCCATCATTTTTGTCAGGGCTATTGTAATAGGCTGCTGTCTTTTCCAGTTATTTTCCATCCAATAGCTAGAATAGATAGAAGCATATAAATGACACCTTCTCACTTGGCTGATTAGCCTTCCCTTGCACTTTGAGTAAAACCTCAGCACCTTTTCTTGGCTCAGGAGGTCCTGGCTGCTCTGGCCCGTGACTAACTCATCTCACGCCCTTCTCCTTTAGCTCACTCTTCTTGCCGTGATGACTAATGGGATGTTTGAAGATGCTGTATTCTCTTCTGCCTCTCTTGGAATGTTCGTTCTTGTATGCTTTGCTGGCTTATGTGTTAACGTCGTGTTCTCAAAGGGAACATGAGAACTAAGCCTTTCATGAGTGTCTTAGCTGGACTAGCTTCCCTTTCCCGGGTTTCCTTATACTTTGTTTCTTCACAGGATATTAAAACTGTTTGTAAAGCTTTTTTTTTTTTTTTTTTTTTTTTTTTTTTTTTTTTTTTTTTTTTTTTTTTTTTTTTTTTTTTTTTTTTTTTTTTTGGTATCAATCATGTTTTGGATTGTTTTTTTTTTTTTTTTTTGCTTTTTTACCTGTTTGTTTTTATTCTCTTGGTATCAATCATGTTTTGGATTGATTGCATCCTTAGTTCCCATCCCATTCACTTATTTTCCTCCACCAGTTTAGGAGTTTTACATTCCACCATTCCAGCTACCTTTAAATTTTTCCATGTCCATTTAACACAGTACTGTCCAAAGTAAATTGTTGTAGCTTATTTGTCTTCCTTCTAAACAACAAAAGGACATTAAAATGCCTCAAGGCCGTTGCCCTGTTTACTCCACATACCATTGCTGTTGAAGATAGGAGTTTTGTCTTGATTTATTTTCCCTCCCAACCTCCCTACCCCACCACGGTACCTCCCCACCCCACCACGGTACCTCCCCACCCCACCACGGTACCTCCCCTGGTTTCCCCCAACAGACCCGAGTGTGTGATCCTCGCCTCCTGTGTCCATGTGTTCTCATTGTTCAACACCCGCCTATGAGTGAGAACATGCGGTGTTTGATTTTTTGCTCTTGTGTCAGTTTGCTGAGAATGATGGTTTCCAGATTCAACCACGTCCCTGCAAAGGACACGAACTCATCGTTTTTTATGGCTGCATTGTATTCCATGGTGCATGTGTGCCACATTTTCCCTGTCCAGTCTATCATCGATGGGCATTTTGGTTGGTTCCAGGTCTTTGGTATTACAGACAGTGCCAAAGTGGACGTGCATGTGCATGTGTCTTTGTAATGGCATGATTTATAATCCTTTGGATATATATCCAGTAATGGGATTGCTGGGTCAGAAACCACAAATACTTCTAGGTACTTGAGGAATCGCCACATTGTCTTCCACAGTGGTTGAACTAATTTACATTTACTTGTTTGTTGATGCATTGCCTGTTCTCCCACTATCCTACAACCCCTGGAGTTGGGGAACTGTGCCTTTCTTCCTTATTGCCCAGTACCTAACACAATTGTTGGCACATAGTAGACAAACTTCCAATATTAATTGGAAAAAAAATGAAGAGATAGTTGAGTGAAGAAAGATTTTTTTTTGGTACTAACAGAGCAGAGGTATTTCAAATTAATGAACTGAGATCCCCAAAACTATGTGTGTGTATATAATGTGTCATTGCTTGTAGTTTGGAAGTAAGACAGTAGGTTAGAGACCTTTCAGATTAAACTTTAATACACATCATTGCAGTTCTCACAGGTCAGAAGGAGGATGCATTTCTTAGTGTTCTTGATTATGTCTTTCTGTCCATAGTGTTGCATTTTCTTAAAGAAAAGATCAAGAGTTGAGATTAAACTTGACTTTAAATGCCAGATATTTGCTAGAACCTCTGGGAAATTGATTATATATTTCTGTTTGAAGGCTGCAACCACACATAATCTCATCTATATCAGCAAAATTACTAATGAAACACCCAGGTGCTTCCCGACCTCGAGGGGAGGTGAATCGTACTTGATCAGCTTAGTCAGTAAATGCTTATCTGAAATAGAATTTTGGCTAAGAATATATATGGAAGAAATGTAAAACATGACACCTCGTGGATGTGCTTATCCTACAGATGACAGTGTCATTTAAAATACATGTTTAGGTGAATAAATTCTTGTCAACCTGGCAAAAAAAAATTTTTCAAATAAATATTTTGTCTGTTTTATACATTAGCATGTACTGTATTAAATTATAAAACATAAATATAAAATATTTAAATACTGTATTTTATTATTATACAATAGTACTATCAGAACCCCAAATTACAATGAAAACACTAAGCAAAGCGTTCCTTGAACCAAATAACTGAATTTGTAGTGGAATATGTAAGTTGAATGAACCAGGATTTAGGAATAAGAAAATGTTATCATTGAACTTTGAGGTTGCCCTCCAGCTGTATAGGCCCAGAGAAGATACATAATGTGTGCGCATTTTGTTCATCTATACAACTAGTAAAAATAATACCTATTTATGGTTTAATTGTTTGCCAACTAAATTCAAAAATATATTTAAAATACCTTGTACAACCATCTGCGTGTAATAAGAACATGGCAAGACATGATAGGTACATGGTGAGTTCCTTTAAAATGTAACTACTTAAACATAGTCTAATTGCAGGGTAATTAAGGATGTGAACTTAGAGATTTTGTTTGTTTTGTTTTTGTTTGTTTTGCATGCCAAAAAAATCTGGTTAATTTAAACAAAAGGAATTTAATCAGAAGAATAAGAAGTAGCTTTGTAAATAGATAAGAATGCTGGAGAAACAGGCTTGGAAATAAGTCAGGCATCATGGGAGCCAGTTTGTCTCAAGGTGTCTGGGTCTGGCCTCACTCAAGAACCACTCAAGAGGCGTGTTTGGATTCCATCATCGAGATGAATCCATTTTACAACTGTTTTTTCTTCCCCCATCCCATGCAACTTTGGAGACTCAGGAGAAAAATTCTTATTGGCTTAGCTTGAGTTACCTGGCCATCTTTTTGTTTATGGGAGTCAGACACCTTAACTTTTGTCCCTGTCAACTTGACTTGCAAGGGGAAAAGGTAATTTCTGAAACAGAAGCTTAAGTTGTTACAAAGGGAAAAATTAAAATGAATGAATGAATTAACATGACAAATCAACGTTAAAGTTATTCAATTAAAATTAAAATGTCACTATGGATTTCCAGATGATCCACACTTCATTTAGAATAGAATAGGAAAGTACTGAATGGAATTATTCAGGGGTTAAGATAAAGCTTCAGAATCAAAACAGAATTGGGAGGTGGTATTAACATAGCAAGTGTGAGGCAAGGGAGTAATTCACCTTGGGCCAGCTGTGCCCCAGAATTCCTCAGAGGAACCTCAGGGGTGGCTGGCCATGGCTGTCACAAAGCCCCAGTTACGTTTCAACTGCTTTATTCTTTTAATTTTTAAAAATGTTATGGCAATCCACGTAAGGTTTTACTTCAAAAAAGGAAAAAAAAAAAAAAAAAAAACAAGAAGGCGCTAAAACAATGAGATAGGAAAAACGACAAACTGACAGTTATTCCAAAACTATCCAGCAAGAGAATAACGCTGGCCCTGGGGTCGTAGTCCACATCATCTCTGACCTTGTGGAGGAGGCAAGGTAAAAGCCTTCAGCTCCACAGTGAAACAGGTAAACAGGTGACGTGTGATCAGCATAATGCCATAAATACTGCGTAGAAATTGGTATTGTAATTTTCAGTTTTGTAAATGCCTTAAATTAGCTCACTTGATCTTTGCCACCATTCTACGTAGAAGGCACGTGCAAATGAGAAACGGAGGTGCAGAAAGATGAAGTCTCAGAGACAATACTAGAGCCAGCTGTCCTGACTGTGCATATAGAAATTGCTACCCTGCAACAGCATGTTCACTGTTTTTAGACTGGGGAATACTTTCTGCAGATAGAAATTTAATGGGATCATGTATTTACTCAGAACGAGTGGAGCTGTGTTGGTTGGTTGAGGGTGAAGGGCCTGGGGCTCCCCTCAGCCCTCCCTCCTACTCTTTCCCCTGGAACACGTGTATGACACAGAGGCACGTCTGAGAAAAGGTGTGCAGGGTTCCGGGTATGCGGTGTAAAAACTGTTGCCAGTACTGCTCTGTCTTTCAGGGATGCGGTTGAATCTCTCTCCCTTCATTTGCTCCATATCTTTTTTTTTTTCCTTCTGTGCAACTTGTATCCCAGAAGTCTGCTCTGGTTAAGGAAGCAGTGCAGGTGACTCTGTTAAGAAAACAGACTGGGGAACGAGAAGGCAAGATGCTTTTTAGTTTTGCTTTTTTAAAGCGGACATTGATTGATGCTGGTACCTAACACAGGCATGGGACATGTGTGCCACCATTTCAGTGTTAAGACAGTACACCAGGAGGCCTTTTGTAGAGCTTTTCTGTGTTAACCTGAGAAAGTCCCCCAAGGATCTAAAGTATTCTCCTTCCAGCCATAATCATAACAATGTTTAAAACAATATCTGTGGTCCTGACCAAAGTTGTTCTTTTGTACTAATTCTTTGGGGTTCTTCTTTTTGTTAGAATAGGCCCCAACTGAATTATATAGATGTTTCCAGGTTTGTATCATCTGCCCAGGCATGCTATAATACTGCCTCCTTTCTGACTCATGTTAAGAATTCAAGTCCTCTATGCATATACACCATATACATATATGGATGATGTACGTGTCCATACTCACATACAAATTCATATCTGTATACATACGGTAAGTCCTCAGTGTCATAAATAGGTTGTTGGAGACTGAAACTTCAAGGGAAATAACAAAACTCATTTTACTCTTGGCTAATTGATATAAACAAGATTTAATTTAAGTTCCTATGGCATATTTTTGGTCACAAAAACATCACCAAACATATAAACAATGAGCAAAACACTTCTATTAAATACTGAAATAACTGGGAGCGACACATACACTTAAGAAAGATGAATACCAGCAAGGAAGATAATTACTTACCTGCTTATTCTACTTTTTTTTTGAGACAGAGTCTTGCTGTGTCTCCCAGGCTGGAGTGCAGTGACATGATCTTGACTCACCACAGCCTCCACCTCCCGGATTCAAGTGATTTTCCTGTCTCAGCCTCCCAAGTAGCTGGGGCTACAGGCATGTGCCACAATGCGCAGCTAACTTCTGAATTTTTCGTAGAGACGGGGTTTCACCATATTGGCCAGGGTGGTCTCAAACTCCTGACCTCAAGTGATCTGCCCGCCTTGGCCTCCCAAAGTGCTGAGATTACAGGCATGAACCACGGGGCCGGCCTTCCTGCTTATTCTAGTTCAGGGTCACCATGGGTAGCAGGAGCCTTATCCATTAGCTCAGGATGAGAAGCAGTCTGAGGCAGGATATCATCCATCCCATTGAAGAGTGCGCTCACGTTGGCGCCCACACTCACTCAGACTGGAGTATCCAACCCACTGCAGAGTGTGCTCACATGCACGCCCACACTCCCTCAGACTGCAGTATCCATCCCATTGCAGAGTGCGCTCATGTAGGCACCCACACTCACTCAGGCTGGAGTTGTTTAGACACCCAGTTCAACTGCTAGGCATATCTTTGAGATGTGGGAGGAAACTGATGTAGCCATGCGGAGAACATGCAAACTATATGCAAACAGAAGCCCTGTGGGAGAAAAATAGACATTTTTTCTTAACATTATCATGAAACAACATTGAGGAAAGCCATTGAATGAAATAAGTTATTTGGGGACCTGCTGTATACATATTCATATACATTACTGAGACCAATTCTGGTTGCCCAGGCCTTAAAAGGTCTTCTGTAGTTTCAAAATGAATGTCATCTCTAGTGATGGACTCAGAGCCTGAGATTAAGCACTGTCAGATTTCCAGTACTATTCTTGGAAAGAAGGAATTGAAGAGGGAGAGAGAAGCATGAGGCCCCATGAGTTGTCGGCAATAAATAATGGGAAGGCAAGTCACTTGGAGTTATGGAAGAGTCGGGCATGCTGCAAAGTCCTGCCTGTAGGGAGGACCAGTTGAAGTTTCAGAGTTAGTGGCTAGCAGGAGCAAAATGGTAGGCACATCTGCAGGGAACAGGGATAAGTGGAAGGAAAAAAAAAAAAAAACTTTATTTTGAAGTTCCAACTAGAATGTACTTTGGCTCTCATATATAGTATCAGCAATGTCATTGCAAGTTAAAGTGATTAGGTATGCAGATATTTTGTCTACAATAACTTTTTTCTTTTTGAGACAGAGTCTTACTCTGTTGCCTAGGCTGGAGTGCAGTAGCAAGACCTTGGCTCACTGCAACTTCTGCCTCCTGGGTTCAAGCAGTTCTCCTACCTCAGCCTCCCGAGTAGCTGGGACTATGGGCACGTGCCACCACCCCCAGCTAATTTTTTAAATTTTTAGTAGAGATGGGATTTCACCTTGTTGGCCAGGCCAGTCTTGAACTCCCGACCTCAGGTGATCTGCCTACCTCTGCCTCCCAAAGTTCTGAGATTTCAGGCATGAGTCACTGTGCCCAGCCATGGTAACTTTTTTTAAGTGTTACTTACCATTCTTATCAGGTAGGTGAATCTCGTTAACCATGTGTTAAAGACAAACCAATGGGGTCCTAGGAAAAATGATGAATTTGAGATGAGAAGAGTAAAGACGCAGAGATGAAGATTAAGTTCCAGGAAGAAGATGACTATCTTGAGAATTGAAACAAAAGTAACCTCTAGGTGGGCTCTGAGTCAAGGCCTCTGTTTGATGAGGCATAGTCCTGCTGGTGGACAATTTTAACAAGTGTATCAGTTCCTGGGGAAATTCATGAGATACCAGCCCTGTTACCCATCTAGTAAGTGCTGTATTTTACATTGAGTTCTAGTGTCCTTCGATCGATCGATAGATAGATAGATAGATAGATAGATAGATAGATAGATAGATAGATAGATGTATATTTTGAGATGGAGTCTCACTCCATCACCCAGGCTGGAGTAGAGGGTGCAATCTCAACTCTCTGCAGGCCCTGCCTCCCAGGTCCAAGCAATTCTCCTGCCTCAGCCTCATGAGTAGCTGAGATTACAGGCACCCACCACCTTGCCTGGCTGATTTTTGACTTCTATGTTTTTCATACTAGTCCTACTGTCCAATTTATCTCTCTGTCGACGGGGCCCAGAAGAGCATTGGCACGTGGTCAGTAAACACTTGTTAGTTATATTCTGAGTGAATTATAATTGGCAGTGTTGGAAAGTTATTGATAATTGTTTTCCCAGAAGGGAGATTCATACAGTAGATTCTAAACTATATAAAGTATGTGTAGGAAGAAAGCCATTTTCTTCAAAGTGATGCTCTTGATCCAGATTTTCTGATTGCGACTTCCCACTCAAACACTTTCCGTAACAGGGAACAGCAGAGGCACAGGAGAAAAAAGAAAATAAATTACCCTTACTTTGCTGTACCTCACTTTCCCCCATTCACCCCAACTCCAATGCCATCTAGAATTCTGTCACTATTTGGAATATATATCATGATACCATTGTATCAAATATGTGATGTCTTAACCTTCAAGAAGTACATTGCTGCGACTACTCATCTGCTTGTTTCCATACTTTTCCCTGGGCCTGCCTTTTCCCTTTGTTCTGTCTGACAAACTTCTATACCAGCTTCACATCTCAGCTTAAGTGCTCAATCACATTAACTTTTAAAAAGTAAGCCCTCATGTTTGTAACTAGACTTATATTCCCTTCTTTACTGTGGTTCTGATGAAATTGGATGTAGCATCAGTGTAAATATATCACATGACGTTGAAATGATTTGTTTCCTTGTCTATGACCCCTTCTGAGCTATGAGCTTTTGGGAGTCTATGCAGTCTGTATTTTATATTGGTAGCATTTAGCAGAATCCTTGAAACAGACCAAGGGTTGGATGAATATTGGTTAAATGAATGAATGAGTGATTATCTTCCACGTCTTGTTAAAATTACAATCCACAATTGAAAACCATCTTATAGTTACGGGCTGTATAATTAATCTTAAACTCAGGGAACTTATTGTAAGCAAATATGTCTCATTTCAAAAATGGCAGTTTACTGTAATTAACAATAGTAAGGAGAAATTATATGTCCTCTTGCTGTTCCCTCCTTTCTCTAGCTCAAAGCAGCCCCCTTTGGAAGGCATGATCCCTTCAAGGTGATTGTGCTTCTGACACTGCTTCATGGCTATCCAAGAAGCTATTAGGAGCAGGAAGAAATCAAAGAAAACTCTGCCACTGTGCCAGGTTGTTTAAAGAGGAAGGAAAAAGAAAGTGGCAGGCTGAGCATGAGAGTGCTACTATAAGACCCTGGTTTGGGCTGTTAAACCAACAGAGTAAGATTCCCCAGTGGTTTGTCCTCACTATAATTCCCTTCCAGCTCTAGCGTAAATGCAGATTTGTGAAGTGAGAAAGGCTTGAAAAAGACAGGCCGATTGTGACACCAGATTTTGTGGTTTCTCTTAGACTCTCTTTTACTCATATTTCTTAATTTTCTCATTTTCTGTTGTAGATATGTTAAATTGGGTGGCAGAAATAAGTCATTGGAACACAATGCTTGAGAGAGAACCTGCTCTCCTCCCTACTTTTTAAAAATATACTCACATGTTCTCCCATCTACCAAAACAATTATTCTAGATTGGAGACATTTAAGGACTCACACTTACGTAAAGGTACTATAATTTTATGATCTTCCCTTTGGGAAGAGCTGGGGGTGGGCAGAGTCTGATGTATCACTGAATATATTATGTTACCTTTTACTGAGACACAAATTTGCTCATGGTGTCTTGCATTGGAGCAAGTTGGATATATACTTTTTCAGCTGACCAAATTGCCTGGAGTATGCAGAGCAGAAACCTACCAGTTATCTTATAATTAAAGTTGAAACTTGGCTGTTGGCTCACTGCCTTCTGGGTGAGCTAATCTATGCCTGAATGCTGTACATTCTGTTATAAATGATCGTCTTCAAGGCTGTCTGTGTATTAGCTCAGCCTGGTCTCCATGTCCAAGTTGTTACTTCGTGGTGTCTTCTGGGTTCAATTAAGGCTGTTTGTCTACTGCTCCTGAGGTAACTTAACTTTATGGGTCATGCATTGCCTTCCAGGCACCCAGCCAGAGGTGTCATGTTTAAAGGATGAAAGACTATAAATGAAGATAGGTGTGCGGGTGGGAAGGAGTGAACCTCAAAGTTTCTGGCAGATGCAAGTCCGGGATTTTTAAGGACATGAGTAATACTGTGTCTTTTAAAGGGCAACCTATAAACATAGAAATTTCTGGTGAACAGATGTAAGTAGAATTCAAGGATAAAACTCATAGAATAAGGTCAGCATGATACCACTGTAGCTGTGAGTAAATATATTTCTTAAGAATGATCTAGTATACCTTAGGATTTCAAAGAATACGGTTCCCAGAGCCCATGCACAGGGTTTTAGGGAATTAATGTGGTAGGACAGTGCAGCCAAATTATGATGAGTTTTTCTTAACTATCACAATTACTCTTTAATGTTAGTATTAATACTTTAATTTCATGCATGAGAAATTAAATGTTATGTAGACAAAGTGACTTGCCCACAGCAAGTAAGTCACAGGCCCAGAATTCAGATTGTATTCTGTATAATTCCAAAGCCACATTCTTTTTGCCCTACTGTTAATCTTTGCTTGGCTAAAAGACACTTGTCTCTCAAGTTGCCTCCTCTTGTTTCAACGGTAATCTCCATGTCTGGGTGAAATATGTCATGGGCTACAAAGCCTCCAAATTACAAATTCCATCAGTGTCCCCCCTATTGGCTCTACCACTCTGTTCTCCTCTGATGACAGGCTCCAAATAATTCTTTGGATGAAGTTAAAGAAGTTGGCAGTTGTGTACATGAAGCAGAAATTGACAATGTTTGGCTACCCATTTTTCATACAGTCCAACCACAAAGTCATGGAGTTAAACCAATGATTTAAGTCTGGCTTAACATTAAAATAACCCACGAAACAAAGAAAACACTCATGCCAGCTCCTGTCCCCAGTAAAGATCAAGATAGATTCTGATTTATTCTGGAGTATATGCTGAACATCAGTATTTTTTAAGCATTCTAACAGTTTCAAAATGCATTTAGTGTTTAAAAATGAATTTTCCCATTGTATTGTAACTATTCCATCTTATTCCAAAGCAACTATACTGATAAATAAAGATGGGGTAAAAAAAAATGTAAAAATACCTTTTTTGTTTTTAACTCAAAGAGAAATTTTGAAAAACCATGATAGTATATAAGCCAGTTGTTTCGTAAAAAATGAAGAAATCAAGATTGTGAACATTTTATTCAGTCCAGTAAACATCTGTAGGTTCCACAGAAGATAAAACACCCAACAAGGCTCTTTTTTAAAAATGTAAAATGCAGTCTAGGTGATAGAATATGCACATAAACAACTGCACTTCTGTATGAATTTTGTCAAGCTTGTGAATAATTCTTCCATGAATTAAAAATGGACAACTGTATTGTTCAAAGGAGAAGGAATGGAATGTGCAAAGGAGTGGAAATGTTAGGAAGCAAGGGATATGTCGAAAAAGCAGGTGGATCAGCAGGCTAGACTGCAGGGAGCAAGGAAGAGCGTGGTGGGAGATGAGAGCAGAGAAGGGAAAGACGGAGGGTACCAAGCATTGCCTTGTGTCTTCACTTTCATGTTTATCTCCAAAGATGCGTAAATTTCTTTCTCTTCCCTTCATTTGTTCTCATTTTCTCCTTTTCCATCTTCTCTCTTACTCTCTCCTTTTGATTTCTACAATAATTAGATTATTAATATTGATAATAATAACTTTTATTTTTGTTCTTTCTAAATGCCACTTGCTGTTTTAAGTTTTTTATATAAGTTATCTCATTGTCACACTGAATCATTACAAAAATTCTAATAACTATGTTAGTATACTATATATGTTAATATATAGTGTTTCTCATGTTACATATGAGAACATAGAGACTCGGGGACATAAATTAATAAGTAGAACTGAGTAAGCAGAAAGCGGCTCAGAGTCTTGAGCAAATATGAGGTATAGAGCTTCAGAAGTTAGAGGTGAATTAAGACCCTTGTGTGTGTTTATGTGTGGTGATGGGAGGGGACCTCAGAACACTCCTCTGTCATTGGGATACAAACCATTCTTTCTGTGCTTCATTTCCCATCTGCCTTAGTTGGCCGTGGTGTAACTTAAAACATGGAGAGAGGAGGAACTCCAGCTTTAATAGATTGCAAGTCAGTTTTATATTCGACATTTGATATTAGAGTACATTTCTTTCCATTGTATCTGAAGGGAAGAGCAGCAAATTTTACTTATTATGTGTGACAATTAATAGAGAAGAATATAGTTGACCCTGGATCCTTGAGTTTTGTGTCCACGGATTCAACCAACTGTGGATCTAAATTATTCATTAAAAAGCAATAAATGTAATACAACAATAATAAATAATGCAAATAACATACAGTATGACAGCTGTCTATGTAGCAGTTACATTATATTAGGTATTATAAGTAGTCTAGAGGTGATAAATGTCTATAGAACAATGTACTAGGTTACATGCAAATATTATGCCATTTTATATTGGAAA